TTTTCATCCTAAGCCACAAGAGAAGGAAAGTGTAAACCATACAACTTTTAGAAAAGTCATTTCGTTATTTAGAAAAAAAATATCCTATAGCATATAAGACGCCGTAATGTATTTCTTTGTGATCATCGAATAAGTGACCAAAGATCGTTGATGTAAGTGTTCATATCATTGAGGATGTGGTCATGACACAATAATCTGGTATAAAGTTGGTCTTGTATAAGCAAAGAAACATGAGATACAATTTTAGTAAATTCCCAACCCAACACTTCCAAAACTCTTTTATTAGGTAAGCGTACCTTAAGCAATTCTCTACAAGAATCTGCCAAATTGGATTGATTGGTACGATTTTAATAGACTTTGAGCCCTAGGTCTTTTACAGACATGCACCTCCATAACTTCTTTAGATTTCTTATAGAGCATTGTCTTATTTCATGTTGCAAGCTATAGATACCAATTCTTTAAAAGATATTCCCGAAGGTCTTCTAGTTGTATCATATTTTTCTTCATCAAACTCACCGTTAAGGAAAATAATATTCACATCCACTTGCTCAACTTTTGGATCAAATTTTCGTTGCAAGTCCAAGTACAACATCAATGGATGATATCTTTACAAAATGAAAAAAAAATATTTCACCAAACCTAGCCTTGATTCGATGATACACATTGTTTTCTTCACCGTAGCTAACATAAACTGTCTAGGATCTACCTTGTTGAAGGTTGAATCTCTCTCATATCTCCAACATTATGTAGGTTCTTGGCAACTACTGCTATGGTCACCATGAATTTATGCTTGTATTTTCTATTTTCCGAAAATGTTTATCGAGGAACTTAACTTCTTAAAATGTGCAAGTGTAGGAAAACAAAAACAATTAATGCATTGTTTGGTCTAATCTTGAGTTGGAGAGAAGAAACACTAGTTGATCCCAATCCACTGAATAATCTAACCCCAGGAGCTTCAACGTCAATGGTTTCCAAACCTGAGTTGAGAAGGGGCAAGAGAAGAAAAGATGATTACGAGATTCGATTTGAAAACCGCAAAAAACACAGTCAATTCTCTATCCCATATCTAATTGGCCATTCGATCATCCGTTCATATATGGTCGTGATTCGCTTACAGGCTATAAAAGCATATCTTGGTGTTGCATAATGATGGAGAGCGGAAGCTTAGATAACAAGCTAGGTCACGTGAACTCCAGGAGAACTCGCAAACAAGCTTGGGTTTAGACGTAGTCGAAGAGATTTCGATTACGGCTAGGGTTTGAGAATTCTCCTCTCATGACTTTGCACAAGAAAGCTCTTTGGAAACTTGAGTTTCCTCTTTTTGGTTTTTATTGATTTTATCAAAACAAAGACTAAAGAACAAAGACTCGATGATGACTCTATTTAAGCTAAAGCAAGACTCGACAAAACCCTAAAATAAAAGAAAAACACGATAAAGGAAAAACGTGAACACCAAGTTGTGTGTGACACACACATTGTTGTGTTCGACACAAAAGCCTTAAACAAAAACCCAACTAAAAACGTGCAAATATAAAGATGTGTTGCATCACATAATTAAATAAAAAACTATGAAACCATTCTTTTCGAGGCTGGTTTGGTCTTGACAACCTCCACTTCTTGGTTGGAAATTTGGCCGAGTATGTAACACCGAGATATGCTTGGTCTTGACAACCTTCACATCTCCTTGGTCTTGACAACCTCCACGTCTCCTTGATACTCCCCAATAACTTCTTTAGATTTCTTATAGAGCATTGTCTTAATTCACGTTTCAAGCTACAGATACCTTCCTTTAAAAGATATTCCTGAAAAAGGTCT